TAATCCCCATGTTAATAATTTCAAATAAAACTGGATTAGGCTACCGTATTTCACAACAAGATGGAAAAATCAATCATATTTTATACATGGAGGACATAAAACTACGGTATATGCAAAAAGTTCCACAGAGATTGAATCAGTGCTAAACACAGTGCAAATATTTATTGAAGACATGAAAATGAAATTTGGAATTGACAAATGTGCAGCTCTGTCTATACACGATGGCAAGATTCAAAACCTGGATGGAATAGAATTAAAAATGGCAATATTATAAAATTGCTATCAAGTGATGAAAATTATAAATACTTTGAATACTAGAAGGAGACAACGTTGTGCACAAAAAAGTTAAAGAACTGAAAAAAAGAGAATATACCAAAAGACTGCGGAAAATCTTAAAATCAAAATTAAATGGGGAAAATACAATCAAAGCCATAAATACATGGGCAGTTCCAGTAATTAAATACCCAGCTGGAATAATAGATTGGATTCAAAACGAATTAGAAGAACTGGATCAAAAAACATGGAAACTAATGAACATACATCACACACTACATCCAAAAAGTGATATGGACAAATTATATTTACCACAAAAAATCAGAGGCCATAGATTACTGCAAATACAGCAGGTAATAGAGAAAGAAAAAAATAAACCTAAATGGTTATATCAGTGCAAACACAGAAAAATTACTTAAGGCATTGAAAATGGAGCAAACACCGAAAAATTACTTAAGGCATTGAAAATGGAGAATATTTTGAAAACAACAGAAACAAACACTCAATATAAGGAACAACAATTTGAAAATAAATTAAACAGCTGGAAAAATAAACCACTACATGGACAATGGCTGAGAAATATTGATGGAAAACATTATCATAATTCAACATGGGCATGGCTAAACCTTAAGGGCATGACCCTTAAGAAAGAAACAGAAGGCTTGATTTTTGCTGCACTCCAAACCAACGTGATAAAAGCTAAGATCCAAGAAATTAGTCCTAACATCAAATGTCAACTCTGCCAAGAAAAGATAAAACTGTGTCACACCACATCTGTGAATGTCCAAAGATTGCACAAATTACAAAGTTAGACATGATAGAGTGGCAAAATTAGTGCACTGGTCATGATGCAAAAAATATAATTTGGCAGTCGCTAAAAAACATGGGAACATCAGGTAGAGAAAGTGTCAGAAAATGAGGAAGTCAGGATCTTGTGGGATTTCCAGATCCAAACAGATAGACACCTTGAACATAACACACCAGACATACTAGTAATAGAACGAAGAAATGTCCAGATCATTGACATTGTAATTCCATGAGATGCCAGAGCTGAAAATAAATAACTGGAAAAACTAATAAAATACAGAGACCTGGCAATCGAAACATCTTGCCTGTGGAAGAAACACAATTCACTGGTCCTCGTAGTCATTGGAGCTTTGGGAACAATATCAAGAAAAGTACACAGTACTATAAGCAGTTGCAGATCTCAGAAATCACACTAGTAGAGCTACAAAAAATGGCAATATCAGGAAAAGTATACATACTGCATCAATATTTAACAGGTACTTACTGTAGGTTTTTGGTTAAAACTTGTATCCGTTATATAATACCAGTCAATGTTTATATAGTTTAGCGTTTTTGAAGAATAAGAAATTCCCCCTTTCATTTTTAGTTATGAATAAGAGTGTGTGAAAGTGTTTTTGAAGAATAAGAAATTCCCCCTTCCATTTTTAGTTATGAATAAGAGTGTGTGAAGCCCTAACCCCAATGAGATCCACCATGGGTAGGTAGAGAAGGTTTAAATGTTTCACCGCCAATTCTTTTGCATGCCAGGACTGAAAAAAGAAGAAAAAGAAATGAATGAAACTACCGTTGCTGATGCTCCCCTGCTCATTTTTTTAACCCCTGCATAATAGGTCGGGGCATGTTTATGCTTGAAAAGGGTGTGTTGGAAATGTACAGATCTCAACACCACAGCGGTACTCAAAAATGTAAAGAAATTATAAATAGGAGGCAGGAAAAAAGTACAGTAATGTTTCTGCATTCTAGGGTGAAAATGTGCCTCCTGTTTCATTTCTGAAGATCATGAAGTTGAATATATCTGAATGGCCTTATTTTGTAGTGGGAACGTTTGCTTCCCTCATCAATGGAGCTTTGCAGCCGGCTTTTGCAATCCTGTTCTCAGAAATCATAGGTGTGAGTATATTGTGAGCATTGCCTCTGATTTCCATTCCAAAACTATGTTGACATTGTCCCATATTGCTGAAATATCAGTCCCTTTGTAACCTTGCTTATCTATAGAATTCAACGCTTGTTTTCAGAGCATGGAAAAGTGACTGTCTGGAGGAGGGGGCTGTCGCACCCATTGTCACCCAGCCTGCATAAATTCTGCCTAGTTTGCAGGTTCACTAGATATATAGATATATTAAGCCATCTTCAGATCAAATGTCCCTTTATTTCTTTGGGAGGCTGCCTCGCCAGTTATTTAACCTGTATTGGAACCCACTTTTAACATTTCTTCCAATCTTGAAAGTGCCCCGTCAGTCTTCTACGTAGCTCCTATTAGGGGAAAATAGATTTGGAATCCAGAATCCTCCACCTGTATGTAAACAGACACATGCATATAGGCTTTGTAGGTGGGCTTCTGATTTCATTCAATAACAAGAGTTGTCTTTCCAGGAACAGTAATAGATGTCTTTCGGCCACTTCTTTTCAATATATGGATGTTTCCAGATGTGGCTTTTCTGCAAGCTCTTTGCATCATTTGCAGTTTATTGCCAATCTAAATGGCACCATATTTAACTTGTAACCAATCAATGTTTTCCATCACAAATGAATTTCACTGTAATGAAGCCAAGGGAAGCCCTTTGGTGTCCGTTAATAAAATGAAAATAACACTTAGATTGTTGTTTCACAGATTTTTGCAATACCACAACCCTCCGTTGTGCGAGAAAAAAGCAATATGTACTGCTTACTGTTCTTAGGAATTGGAATCCTTTCCTTCATAACTTTTTTCCTTCAGGTAAGTTGTGCTTCTTTCCTCTGCCGATGTATAGGTGGATTGTGAAAGCTTGGTCTAAGATGAAGAACTCATTGTTTTGGTTTGACAGGAAAGGGAAAATATGATTATTAGCTCAAAAATTTGAGACTAAATGTTTCAAGAGGGTCCAGGATTAGGCTTTTAATTCTAGAAGATTTAGCAGTCGCTAGCGGCAAAAGGACAAGCCTGTTGTGTTTTAGCCGAAAAATACCACAGATATTTTACCTCATACCCCTAATGCACCATGCCTCCGGTAAGTAGAGCCAGCCTGTGTGGTCATGATGGGCAAGCTGCACAGTCCGTGGGCACCCCCATAAGAAGGGAATGGTAAGACCACTTCTGCATATTTTATACCTGGAAATGCCTGGAAAAGGTTGCCATAGGTCAGAATTGACTTTTTAAATTATTATTATTATTATTAAGCAGCAGCAGCAGCAGCAGCAGCAGCAGCAGCAGCAGCAGCAGCAGCAGCAGCAGCAGCAGCAGCAGCAGCAGCAGCAGCAGCAGCAGCAGCAGCAGCAGCAGCAGCAGCAGCAGCAGCAGCAGCAGCAGCAGCAGCAGCAGCAGCAGCAGCAGCAGCAGCAGCAGCAGCAGCAGCAGCAGCAGCAGCAGCAGCAGCAGCAGCAGCAGCAGCAGCAGCAGCAGCAGCAGCAGCAGCAGCAGTAGTAGTAGTGTTGTCGTCATCATCATCATCATCATCATCATTGTCATTATTACCACCACCAATGGATGCCAGAAGGTCACATCACAGATGTGGGAGGAAGTGACAGTTGAGGGAGAGTGAACTCTTAATTTTGAATCATAGTTAAGAAAATCCTGTGTTGCACCTCAAGTTCTTCTGTCTTCCGTCAGTGGTGCATGTACCACTGTCTTATCAGATTAGCCAGATGAATACTGAAGAAAGAATACTGGTTCTGAAACCAGAATGACATCCATATATTTGTCACAGCATACCTTCAGCACTTCCAACTGAAGTCACGGCTTTTAGTTTAGAATCAGATTCACCGCCGAGGAAAAGAAAACATTCCAGCTGTATTATGATAGACTGTTGAGACGCTTTTGTGGCTTTCTAAGAAAATAGGTGCTTTGATTCTTCAAAACATTGTGGTTGGCAGTCCTGTTGGTACAACCTGTTTTAAATTCCGATACAGTTTTATGATTTCCTTCCAGTTATAAGAAAGCAGCATCTCTCCATGGAGTAGCTTGAGCAGACCCAGATAGTTTTGCAGCCTTGTAGTTTTGTTGCCTGGTCATTTCAATACCGGGAGGCCTAACAAAGAGAGGTAGCGGATGTTGGTGTCCTGAAAAAAGGCAGAAAAAATTTTTTTTTGTTTAATCTGGGTTCGAAAGAGTTTCTTGTGAGGTTTTCTTCTCCTTTGCAGTACATTCACATTTGGCAACATGCCTCTTGACTTGATTGAGTGGAAAGGGCCGTTGCTTTTCCACCTCTTTCAGCAAAATGTCTTGAGCCATGTCAGAAACCCAACTCGTGATGGGATGTGAGTAGTTGGAAAGGAAAGAGAGCTGATCACCAACTCTCTAGGACCCCGACAGGACACATGTACTTTCTTCCTCCAGTGCCCTGCTTTTCTTTAAAAACAGAAGAGCAGTTGTCTGCTTCTGCTTTGGTTTTCTTCTGAGTTTATAGAAAGGTCTTTCTTTCAGGGTTTCAGCTTTGGCAGAGCCGGAGAGATCCTTACAATGAAGCTTCGTTACATGGGATTCAAAGCGATCCTTAGACAAGTAGGTGGACAAAATGTATTTGTTTGCTTGTTTCATCTTTTTTCTGCATGCTGATCCAATGACTGGGTTGCTTTATTCATCTGCATTCCACAAAACATACAGTAAACAATATGCTACACCTGCGTTCCAGAACGAGTACGACTAATAAATAACTCGTTGCTTGCATCCGGCATCTGGGAAGAGTGGTTTTCCCCCTCAACACTATCCCTCCGTTGGCCACATGACAAATCACTTTTCAGAGCATATATTGACCTGCACTTTGAATCCCAGCATACGTTTTTAGAAACCTTGGATCTTAGAATTCACGCAAGCCTAATGGATCCACTTACTTGCTTACTTAGGTGGAACAAATAGCATTCACTTTATTGGTGCTTAGAATTAGTTGCTAGATGTAGGACTGTGCATCTGAGTGATGCTAATACTCTACTTCAAGGTTTTAAAGTGTCTTATCCTCATCTCAGCAGCATAAACAGGAATAGCAAAGCCTACGATGAACAAAAACTTCAAAAGTTTTCATAACAAATGTGACTGTATCCACAAATGATTCAGTACATTTCCTATTTGTCTCTCTTTCCCTCCTTTGGGGGGAAATAGTTTTTGGATTTTAAAATGAACCATGTGCTTACAGGACATCGGATGGTTTGACGACCCCCAAAACAGCACGGGAGCATTGACGGCACGGCTGGCTAATGATGCTTCTGAAGTGAAGGGGGTAAGTCATGCTCATTCCCATCCTCTTGGGATTTCTGGCTGTGGCGTAGAGAGCTGTCTGGCACAAGAATCAAATGTAGGTTTCCTGCTCGATATTGTATGGCAATAGGAAACAATGAATAGTTATGGATGTTCAGGAAAGCTTCCTGTTTCTGTAGCATTTGAAGGGAGAGGAGAAATGTGTAACTCGGTGGCTGCATCTCCACGTACGGCCAAGAGAAAGTCCATACTTAAACTCTGTAGAACCACTGCCAATTAATGCCGACAAAAGGGGGAAATATATCGACCTCGGTCTGGATGAATGGAACATGTCTTTCAGTCATCATAGGATCTACAACCAAAATATAAATGTTTCTTCCCATTCCCTGTGGTAAATAAATAAATAAATATGCAGCTCACTCTAGGAGAAAATGCTAACACTGGCTTGCCTATTACGGGTGGCAAAGTTTTGCAGGACACTTTGTTCCACACGTGGTTTCTCCTTCCCTGTCGCTCATGAAGAGGGGAAATCCAGTACCCCCTTTATTGAGGAGGAGGCCTCTTTAAAATAACGGAGAGATCTCCCACTCGTGTAGCTACAGACTGGCCTTTGGCAGAGCTTGGACAGGATGCTCCACCCATTGAACTGTTATGCTCCCTAAAAAGGAACAGGACACAAGCTGTACTATTTTGGTAGACTGGAAATCTCAAAGGAAAGGAAAGAGAAACTATGTCTGCTTTCTGTGCCCTACCATTGCTGTTTTAAATATCCCAAAGCACTCGGTTGTATAATTTTGTGAAAATCTGTAAGATTCCTGAAACTCTACCTGGTAGTGCTCTTGTTGGTTATCACCACTGTAACGTGGCTGAGCCACTCTGAGGTCACCTCCTACTCAGGCCTCTCAGAATGCCCACCACGCCACTAAACACTCTTGCTGCCACCAACCTTTCCTTTAAATAAAAAGGACAAGGGTTTCTTTCAAAAATAAAACTTGGTTTATTGATTACAAAAATAAAATATGAGAATCACAGAAAGATAATCACTTTGTAAATCACTTTCTTATTTTAAATCAACCACATAGACATTCCCTCACTGACACTCAGGCACGCAGGCCTCTTTCTCTCACACACCAGATCTCTCCAGATCTCACTCTCTCACTCAATCAATCTACCTCACACACTCTTCACTCCCCCCCCCGTTTTATACCAGCTCCTCCCCTTCAATTCCACCCTCCGTCACACCATTGCCTGATGATTCACTGCCCAGCTGTGACGGACAGGTGAGGTCATGGCTGCCCGTTACAACCACAATATTAAAAACATAGCTGCCACTGACCTTAGATTAAGACAGGTTAACCTTAGACAAAGCATTTGTTCCACTTGTTCTGGGTTCTTTGCCAATCCCATCAGAATGTTTCCTAATGGCCAGACATTCCTCCTGCATCACTTCTTACTGTGTTTTTCTCCCTTTGTTCCTGGATCCTTTTTACCCTTGCAAAATCCTTGGTTTATATTTTGTTCCAATGTACCTTGCCGGGGGTGGGGGAGGAGTTTGATGCTGTGACACTTACCAAGAATGTTTGCATGAACAGATATAATAAAGAAATAGTCAGTGCAGCACAGGGAGGCATACATGAACTGTGATGAGCCAAAGTGGAGTCTTGCTGAACTCTAGCAAGTTCACGGTGGAGTCTTGCTGAACTCTAGCAAGTTCATGATCCAGTAGAAGTGCAAGTGAAGAAGCAGTTTGATGTTAGACTGCCCATCATCAGGAAGTAATGTGATCAGTGACAACACTGAAGTGAAGAAGCAGTTTGATGTTAGACCGCCCATCATCAGGAAGTAATGTGATCAGTGATCACTCATTATGGTTAAGAATGGATACTGGAAGATAACTCTTAACTTCCATCAACAAGTGACGGAAGACAAATAAAGGATGAACTTAAAAGGTACAACTGGGCTGTCAGGAAGAGCGCTTAGTAACTTGCTCCTAGCACAACTTGTTCCTTCCATCATATGTAGTCTAAAATCCAAACTGGAAAGATAAAATTGCTTACTTAAGTGAGATATACCTCTTGTTCGTCTGTCAAAATAGCAGATGTTCACCTTGGATTTATAGTGTAATCACTCATTTTGGTTAAGAACGGATACTGGAAGATAATGTTTATTGATTAACGCATTGCACATCTGTATGTCTTTCTCCCTCTCTTAGGCTACAGGAGCCAGGCTAGGGATGATTGCCCAAAACCTGGCTAACCTTGGGACAGGGATTATTATATCGTTTGTGTATGGCTGGCAGTTGACCCTTGTAATCCTGGCTGTTGTGCCAATCATTGCCATAGCAGGGATCATTGAAATTAAAATGTTGTCTGGACAAGCCAAGAAAAATAGGAAGGAACTTCAAGCTGCAGGGAAGGTAAGTTTGAGCTCTTTCAGGATTTAAAAAAAAAGATATTTAGTAACACTTCCAAGGTTTAAAAAGAAAAATGATTAATGTTTGAGTTATGACTTTAATGTAAGTCTCTATTTTCCTGCTTTTCAGAAATAATTAAATAGTATACTAATACTCATCCTCTTTTAGTAACTACAGTTTAGTTGTTTTTCCACAAACTTCTTTCTGTTTTTGATTAAGCATCACGAGTCAGTCTCTGATCCATGAAATATGTTTCCTCCATCATTTAGTGAAATCCTAATTGTAAAAGTGACTGGAAAGTGCAGTTGCTCTGAAAAATTAAAAAAAAGTTATCCCTTGCTAAGTTGTAATTGTAATGTAGTATTTATTTTGCTTTAGTTGCTGGAAACACATTAGTTACAAGTAACGAGATATCTGTAACAGATATCTAAATTCTCGACAGAAGTAGCGTGGAAGGAGGGCAGTACAAGAACAAAAGAGAGTAGGAGGTGTGAACACGTTGTTGCACGTTTCACTAGTTTAAGTCTTGCCCTGTTTCTTTCTGTTTTTCTTGTGGCGGAAAAGATAATCTAGAACAGTGATTCCCAAACTTTAATTCCTCACCCCTTGGCAGCCCATTTCCAAAAAACGGTAGCCTTCATATTGGGAGCTGGGCTAGGGGGAAATCTCCACCCTCTCATCTTCAGTTTGCTTCATCATCACCTCTGATACTGTCCATAATGGACATCATTTTGGATTTAAAGCCAATTTGCTGGGCTCTCACGCGGTGAGCAGGAAGAGAAAGAAAAGCCTAGGGGTTTCTCATTGCTCAGGATATAAACAAGGGGTTTACACTGTTGGCATACAATATGTGCCTTTTCCAGCCATTATTCAACTTTTTTTCACATACCCCTAAATCAGACCTGGGCAAAGTGTGGCCCGAGGGCCACATACGGCCCACAAGCCACTCTTGTCCGGCCTGCGGAGAGGTTTGAACATCAAAACCATTTATAGCTTTTTTTTTTCTAAAGTTGATCAATTGCTTATCTTTAACCTAGCAGCTCTTTTTACTTTTTTCACAGATTCTGACTTGCTAGGAGAGCCTGATATCGGGGAAGCTAGTTTTTCTAAAAGCATATTCCCCTCTTTTTGCAGATTGCGACAGAAGCAATAGGGAATATTCGAACAGTTGCCTCTCTCACTCAGGAAAGAAAATTTGAATTCATGTATGGGCAAAGTCTGGTGGGACCATACAGGTAACAAATCAGGCATGTTTGTCCAATACTTGAAAAAGAAGAATCAACTGTTCCTTTTTACTCTGCCTTGCCTTGTACGGCTCAACCATGTTACTAAGGCGGGATCCGATGAGTATTTTTCCCACTGCTTGGTCTACTGCCCAGACGGGCTGGTTCCCTCCTTTTCCCAGCATTCAGACGACATAATTGCTGGAGTGAAACAGCCTATCCCCAGAGTGTTCCTGTCCACATCTTTGTGGGTCTCTCTCAAGGGCTAGTATTTTTGGGAGTGGGCAGAATCCATTTTGGTTTCTTTCCAGCACAGGCAAATAGAGCTTGTCTCCAATTTGACAGCTGGTTTCTATTTCACAATATTAGTAAGTGGCTTAAGAAGACAGCTTAGCCATTTCACAGTATTGAGAAATCAAAACACTTCCTCTGATCCTCCTGGCAGTAAGTGGAGACCCCTGGTTGGGAATTACTGTTCTAGAACACCCAACTTTTCACATTCTTCCTGACTGGGTACTCCTCTATTCCCCAAAGCTATTTTTCAGCTTTTTCATACCTGGGTTTATGATCTATTGCTGCCTTTTTGTCAGGTTATGTGGGCAGTACCAGGTTTGCTTTCTTGTACCGTTCAGTATTCACCCTACTAGTTTCTGGAAGAGGTGACATGGCAGAGCAGAGCCGCAGCGCAGGATGTGGCTCTTAGCTCTCCATGTTATTTCTGAAAACTCTTTGGATTCAAAACTCCCTGTTATTCACACAACAAAGGGAGGAGCTTTAATTCACATGGAGACAGGGGAACATACGTAGCCTCTTTAGCATTCCTCCCTAATAGCCTCCCAAACCCCAATATCTTTTGAAGATAAGCAACTCTCTGTATGGGTGAAAATCAGATAGGATGCTGCGGAAGGAAGAGAGATGGGAGAATATCCTTGCATTTGCTACATCCCCTTCATCCTGGAACTAGAATTTTAAAAAGTTACTTTCTGGATTTTTGGGCAGCTTTCGGCGTTCTGGCTATATTCATTGGGGGATTCTGGTAAAACAATTGTTTTGAAGTCTATTAGGATAGTGCTGATGTGCTACATCGAAAATATAATAAAATAAAATAATTGAAAGCTTCCTCCAGCATGCAGGAGGAAGGAGGAGGCAGCAAGGGTTGAGATTTTGTTTGTGTTGTTGTTTTCAACAGGGGGTGAACCAAACACAGTCATTTGAAGGGTGTCTGCCATTTTGACACAAGATTTGCACCAAACAGTGTATCAGATCTCTGCATCTCTGCCCAATGTTAAGTGAATCTATTTAGCTTGATGCAGTCCACCTCAGTTGAGACTTTGCAGGCCGGCCCTAAGAGCTTTTTCTTCTTAAACACTACCTGTTGTGAAACCTAGCTGGATATTTAGAATGAGGGAACGAATGTAGAAACAGTTCTACAAATGAAATCCAAGGACAACTTATTTTCATGTTTGCACCTTACTTTTATTTCCACAATTGTAGAAAAACAGAGCAGCAAATGAATTACAAAATCATGCAGAATACCATCGCAAAGTTAATAAGATAAAGGATAATCTTAAAAAAGCTACAATGATTGTCAATAACATTCCGATTCGAAGAGAGAAAATTAACGATTGAATTAGCACAAGCAATTCAAAAGTAATGGCCACCATCTCATTGTTGATTTATGTGCTCTCATAAGGGAAATTGCATACGTCTTGGCAGGAATGCAACCTGCAACTCATTAATGAACACCAATTTCCTCCCAAATCATATGTACTTCTCTTTGCAGAAATATAAATCGACTATAAGATTCTGGCCAATCATCATTAAATCTTTGCTCCCTTGTAAGCAGCTAATAATGAGTAAAAGAGAACCTAGAGGATAGGTGTGAACTTCCAGCATTCCAGATCATGTAGAGCAGTGGTCCCCAACCTTGGGCCTCCAGACGTTCTTGGACTTCAACTCCCAAAAATCCTGGCCATCAGAGGTGGTGGTGAAGGATTCTGGGAGTTGTAGTCCAAGAACACCTGGAGGCCCAAGGTTGGGGACCACTGATGCAGAGGCTTTCATAGAGCCAAGAACCACCGAGGGTGGGAGGTCTACCATGCTCCACCTCCTTGCATGTATAGAGTAACCAGATTGGAAACACCAGAATAGGGCTAATCGTAATATAAACTCAGGTATACAAAACAGCAGAAGAAGAAAAAAACAACATTCCTCCATTTTCTTTTGCAGAAATTCTGTGAAGAAAGCACACATTCATGGGCTGACCTTTGGCCTTTCCCAGGCTATGATGTACTTTACCTATGCAGGATGTTTTCGATTTGGTGCATGGCTAGTGGAGGAAAATTACATGGAATTTAAGTCTGTTTTCCTGTAAGTATATCTAGTCTAAGCAAGCCGTGCTTTTTCAACTATAATATTGTGAAATCGGCTCTTTTAATGCATAGATTTATCTTTGACTCAGAATTGCCTGAAATTGTTTTAACACCCTCATATGCACATATATATGTGGAACAGACAAGTGTGTCCCCAGATAGAATCAATGACAAGATTGGGATTGTCACCATTTTGTGGGTTGCCCGTTTCCTCCCAGTCCATTCCTAGTCTTGTCTGTGACCCCTAGAACCTCCTACAGCACCAAAATATTTTTCATTTGGAAAAAAAGGAGAAAAAAAAATAAATGAAGGGAATTGCACCTTTGGGTGGGTGATTCTCTTTTAAAATAGGATATAGTTCCCAAACTTTGCCTTAGCCAAAAATGGTTTGAAACAAATGGACAAAAAAGGAAATGCTTGTTATTGACGTTGGGCTAATCAGGGATCCAGAAGAAGCTTTGTTTCGCTTGCCTCAGCAACCATTTCTTGGCCACTAGGAAATCACTTCACTGAGCTGAAAGCCAACAAAGTATCTCCTGGAAGTTGAATCATGGCAAGTGGACTTCTTTCTTATTAAATTGAAATATTTCGGTATTCATCCAAGTAGCTTCTTCATTCGGAAGAGAGTTGGTAGGAGACCCCTGATATATCCTCCACGTTGGTTTCACTTCCCCAGGTCTGAATATGCTCCTTAGATGAACAAACGACCAAAGGATGGGGGGGGGGGGGAGTGAAAATCCCACCTTTGCAGTCCTTCTCCACCCACTGCCATGCATCATTAACAGTTGTTAACAGTGGCTTTCTGTTGGGTGTGGTCCTGATCTTTCTGGGGATGGAGGAAAGGGGAGAATGATAAACAGGAGGCAGATTGTACCTAAGGCCTCCACTTCTGTTGCGTTAGGGATTTTGTATATGCACATGTATGGCCTCCCTGACCCCTCTCTCAAGCCAGCTATCTTTTCGGTCCAAAATGATCTTGGTCATCAAATGAGTGTCCTTTTTCCTTCAAATGAAGGAACACTGCTGATTGTGGTCCTGATTCATTGCCCCTCCTGTGCTGGGCCATTCTCCTGTTTAGTGGCTGTTTGGTACTAGGTTATATCAACAAAATACATATAAGCAACAACAACAAAATTGTGGTTGAACTTTTCAGCAGCACATAATGGCCAGAATCCTTATTATGGTCAGATGTGGTAAAAGAAATTATATGACAAAGAATTTACCTGGTGATCCTACACTGGCAAGAACATTATTGGTGTTCACATGTGGTTTGTGTAACTTTACATGGCTAATTGCAACTAATTGATGAGCTGCTGGGGCACATCTTGGTTACCTGCCTGATCATATGCTTGATTACACAACCCAGATCCATCTGACTGGCGCTTCATCGATTAACTGCAGTCAGTTGTGATGTACAAACTTTAAGGAAACACAAATAGGATTCCAGCCTATATGAATGGTAACCCTTGTTTTTCCCCTCCACTCCCAGGGTATTCTCCTGTATTGTTTTTGGTGCTATGGCCTTGGGACAGGCTTCTTCACTTACACCTGATTATGCCAAAGCAAAGATATCTGCTGCCCACATGTTCATGCTGTTTGAAAGAGTACCATCAATCGATAACTACAATGATGAAGGACTGAAGCTTGTAAGTTGATCCCTTTCCTACCATATAGAACATTTTAGTATTTGCTTCTGTTACTTTGTGGTTGGGGTTTTATGAGATACTTATTGCTACACCCACTAATCCAGGATGTGACCACTTTGTCTTGATTTATATACATGCTCAGCCTCCCTCTCTGCCTTTCAGCTCCTCACTTGTCTGGTTTGATGTGAATAAACCTCACTGTATTTATTTATTTATTTTATTGGATTTCTATCCAGCCCATCTAGACCAAAGGTCTACTCTGGGCGGTTTACAAATTTAAAAACAACAAAACCAAAAAACATATATTATAGATCCAATGTGGCGAAAGTGTAAGAAATTAAGATACGGCAGAAGGGAAAGCCAGCCCAAATAGCCAGGTTTTAAGTTTATTCCTGGAAACACCCAGAGAGGGAGCCAGGCGGCTCTCCACTGGCAAGTTGTTTCGAAGACGAGGGGCCACTGCCAAGAAGGCCTGGTTCCTTGTCCTTTCCTTCCGGACCTCCCTTGGCATTAGACCCCTCAGCTGCCCGGCCTGGCTGGAACAAGTGACTCTGGCAGAACTGGGTGGGAGAAGGCGCTATGCCAGATATCGAGGTCCTAAACCATTTAGGGCTTTATATGCAATCGTAAGAACTTTGAAATCAATGCAGAAATGAA